GAGTATCTATGCCATTCGTCATGTAATATAAACATACTTTCCTACAACAAGGAATTGAACAATAAGAACTGTACGCCAACTCGATCGTTATGTGCTGGACTATAGTTTTGATGATCATTAACATGATGTATGAATTTTGTTTAGAATCATTCAGAGAAATGATTGTCTGTCAGAAAAAGTAGTATCTCTATCTAATGAAGGAATATTCTTAAGTAGGACTTATCAATCGAACTGATATTTTGCTGATTAGTCAGTCTCATGGACTTTTGAATATTCTGGAAAATTTAACCCAAAAGAGTATGTTCTTCTTCGAATATGGAATATCCAAAATAAAACTTATTTATCATAGGCAAAGGTAAGAAAACACATTATTTTTAACAATGGATATATGAAAAAGAAAATATGGTTTTGAGTTGAAATTTGAAGACATTCAAGGTCTACGAGATCTGCTTATGGACAATATCTCACATCCAAATTTCATACTATGATTTCTTCTGAAATACGCTGTCAGAAATTTAACAAAAAAGTAACTAAAATTATAATAACCTAGAAAGTACAATGCATAGGGATGAATCTTTAGAGACTTCTGTTAGTTTGATTGGGGTCTAATTACTGGAAAAATATAAGTTTAATTTGACAATTTAAACTTGGGAACCTCCCATCATCTGTCCGCAGTTTCTTTTGTGAAACTCGCATATTCTTTCGCAGGAAATCGTGACTGTAAATTAGTAGTCGAAGTTTTTCACCTCCTCCATACCTATAACAGACGTTAGCAATCGCGAACGACGGTGATCAGACTCTTTTCTTAGAGTTCCTTAGTAACACGAAAAACTACTGAATTGAGACATGCTCTATATATAATGAATACGTGTAACAGGATTATTCGTTAGTTCAATCAATGGTTAAAATGTGAATTATATTTGAATTAAGAGTCATACAATGTTAAAAAGAGAATAACGAGTGCATAGCAACACGATAAACAAAAAATTATACCAGATATAAAAGAAACAAAAACAATTTTGTTTCAAATGTAAAAAATAAACAGAAGAAGTCGTATCTATGGCGGCCGATTTTCTTGAAAAAGAATTCAAGTTTGCGAAAAAGTTTTCTTTTGACATATTTTCGATAAGTATAATTAGAGTAAAAAACCTGTGAACTTCACCTTTTATCACCTCTGAAGCTACACAAACAAGCTTTTATTACTCTCACACTTGTCAAGTTCTATTGACTTGATTTGTTTCGATTGTTATTCAATAACTTAATCAATTTTCTATCATATTATTTTTCTAATGCCGTGAAATAAACTATTCTTGTTTAATTAGTTTTTGGTCTAATTTTGTCAATTGATTAAATAAAGTAAAACAATATAGAGCAAACCGTCTTTTTGTGTTATAGTTTAAATTAAGTACTAAATCTTCATCACAAGCAACGGCATCGAGCAGGATACAACTTCAACAGAAAGAACGACAAAATAGCCAGTGGGAAAATAAATATTTTATTCATGGAGACTCATCAGATATTGTTGCTGATGTTAAAAATCAAGTGCATGGTTGTATTGCTTCTTCTGTTTCAGAAAATATTGATATATATTTATCTCAACTTCATGATATTACTATAACAGCTGATAACATTCTTCATCAGCGTTTATTGACAATATCATCTTTAGAAGAAAACGTTATTCAACAAATTATTCAAGAAAGACAGAGTCTTATTGATAAAATACTAATTAAGGGTCGTTCACAAATGGATCAATCAGAAGACTATTATCGAAAACTAATAGAAGACTTTATTGCTAAATTACAAATTGAAATGTCAAAACATTTAGATTTATTACAAAAACAAATCGAAGCTGAAAAACAAAGTGTTTTTTCTCATGCAAATAGTAACATTCAAGATTTAACAGTGAGATCAGAAAATGCTAAAAGACAATTTCTTCAGATATTACAAGTTTTTGCTGAATCGAAACGTCAAGGAGTATTGGATGAAATGTCTAGTACTTCTATGGATAGAACACTTCAACCTCTTGGTTATGAACAATTAAGAAAACTTAATGTAGAAATGTATTCTACTGTAGGCATGAAAAAAGAAGGACAAGGTTGTGATAATATACCTGACAGAAATAAATATATCAAAGATATTAATGATGCGAAACCGAATCAGCCTCTTAAAAGGACCGTTTATATTGGAAGTAGTGGTGATTCAATATTAGAAAGTTACAAATAAAGTTTATAATTACGAACCAATTGGAATTTGTGGACAAAACTTTAATAATGTGTTTTTTTATATATTTTCTAAAATGTTTTTATTTTTTTTTCAATGTTTTAGCTAAAAAAAACAGCAGAATCGTTTTATTATAGTTAGATAGATCTGGTCGTATTAGCTATTTAAATGTTGTTTTTCACATATTTAGACTAGTTTTTTATTCGAAAATTTAAGTATATTTGGTTTAAAAGAATGGAAAAATTCTTGAAAAATTGAATTACATCAAACGTCTTAAGTCTCAGTAGTATCAATATTTATTGCAATTTTTTTATCTTTCTTGTGAAACACTTGGCGAAAGTTATGCATGCTTTTCGAATTATAGTGTTTGACTGTTAAGACATTCGATTGTTTTAATTGAATAGAAAAATATGTAATAAGTTCAGGCTTATACTTAACGATTGTAGCCATTAGAACTCCAAATCCGAAAGATATAAATATCATATTCAGAATAGATGCAAAAATCTTTATAGAATAGTATATTTAACATTTGAAAGACTGACTAACATTCGTCAAATTTTAGTGTGTACACTTATATTCAGTGTTATTTTCGAATATCTTGACCTACGCTCTCTTAAGGTCAGATTTTGACAAAAATTAGTCTTTAAACTATTAAATATACTACTGGATACCGATTTTTTTTTTGAGTTTATTCGGAATATGATATTTGTATATTTCGAGACTCACTTTCTGATAGTTAAAATCGTTGAGCACGAACATAAATTGATCGTTGTTTTGCTATTCATATCGAAAAAATTGAATTTCTCAAGAGTCAAATAATATATTTTCAAAAGCATAAGTAATTTTTTTCCTACGTATACGACGAATACGATGAAAAAAAACTCGAATAAATATTAAGGCTATAAGTCTTGATGCGTTTGACGGAATTAAATTTTATAGGCTTTTGTGATTCTTTTGAACCTAATTTGCTTAAGTTTTTCCACAAAAATGTAGTCTCTATATGTAAAAAACAACATTTCTATAGCTGTTAACTCGACCAACTCTATCCAACTATGATAAAAAGAATTTTGCTCGCATTTTTAATCACCCATGTATGTTAATACTTTAATTAAGGACTGAGCACGTATATACACGTTTGCTCAATTTGACTAAGCGAAAAAATTCTTCGACACACTAGAATTAGAATTTTTAGTATAGATTATCTTCTAATATATGAATTCATCGCATATTTGCTCTATAAAGTCAATGCCAACAAGAAACTTAAATTTTGTAGGTTATCGTCTATAACTTATTCATAAAATCTTAGAAACTTGTAGTGCCCCAAAATCTACAAAAGATCGTCCCACACTGACTCATCAATCAACTAGATTTGCAGCTAGACACTTTTCATCTCTTGTATCTCACGCAACAAATAGAAAAAATCTTCAGAAAATTTGTGTGACCTACACACATAGTAGTTGCAGAAAGAGGACTGATCCACGTTACATATCTATATTAAGATTGTAATGTTGGTTTTTTTGCAATAAAATTTCTTCTCAAATATTATTGAATTGTCACCTGTTATATTTCTTGAATGTATGATTTATTTCTGTTTTTTCAAAAAATGAAGGTCGTCTATCTTTAACATAAAGTGTGGATGAAAAAATGATAAATGATACTTTTCAACAATAATCGATTTTCTAAGTAAAAATCCAATTTTTTCTTGTAAAAATAGTCGATTCTCACAAGGTTAAACAGATTCTGCTTTATTTTTCATAGCTAAAAGATTGAAAAAAAATAAAAACATTTTAGAAAATATATAAAAAAAAACAGATTATTAAAGTTTTCTGAACAATATTTTAATTACGAAGTAATTATGAACTTTATTTGTGACTTCATAATGTTGAATCACCATCAGTTCCAATATAAACAGTTCTTTTAATAGGCTGATTCGGTTTCGCATCATTAATATCTTTGATGTGTTTATTTCTGTCAGGTACATTATCACAACCTTGTACTTCTTTTTTCATGCCTACAGTAGAATACATTTCTACATTAAGTCTTCTTAATTGTTCATAACCAAGAGGTTGAAGTGTTTTATCTTTAGAAATACTAGATATTTCATCCAATACTTCTTGACGTTTCGATTCAGCAAAAACTTGTAATATCTGAAGAAATTGTCTTTTAGCATTTTCTGATCTCACTGTTAAATCTTGAATGTTACTATTTGTATGAGAAAAAACCCTTTGTTTTTCAGCTTCGATTTGTTTTTGTAATAAATCTAAATGTTTTGACATTTCAATTTGTAATTTAGCAATAAAGTCTTCTATTAGTTTTCGATAATATTCTTCTGATTGATCCATTTGTGAACGACCCTTAACTAGTATTTTATCAATAAGATTCTGTCTTTCTTGAATAATTTGTTGAATAACTTTTTCTTCTAAAGATGATATTGCCAATAAACGCTGATGAAGAATGTTATCAGTTGTCAAAGCAATATCATGAAGACTGGATAAATATATATCAATATTTTCTGAAACAGAAGAAGCAATACAACCATGAACTTGATTTTTAACATCAACAACAAGATCTGATGAGTCTCCATGAATAAAATATTTTTCTTGCCAATTGCTATCTTGTGGCTGTTTCTGTTCTAGTTTTGTTTTGATTGATTCCTTTTCTTTGGGTGGAGGTTTAGTACTCGATTTAAACTATAACACAAAAGGACAGTTAGTTCTATATTGTTTGACTTTATTTAATCAATTGACAAAATTAGACCAAAAACTAATTAAACAAGAATAGTTTATTTTACAGAATTAGAAAACTAATATGATAGAAAATTGATTAAGTTATTGAATAACAATCGAAACAAATCAAGTCAATAGAACTTGACAAGTGTGAGAGTAATAATAGCTTGCTTATGTAGCTTCAAAGGTGATGAAATATGGAGCTCACAGAATTTTTAGCCTAATTATACTTATCGAAAACACGTCAAGTGAAAAATTTCTCGCAGACTTGAGTTTTTTCTAAGATAAAGAAGCATCGTGTAAACGAACTCTTCTATTTATTGGTTACATTTCGAACAGAATTCTTTTCGTGTCTTTTATAGGTGATGTATTGTTTTGTTTATCGTGTTGCTATGCGCTCGTCATTTTTCTTTTTCGCATTGTGTTTTTATTAATTCAAACATTATTCACATCGTAACATTTGATTCAAGCGACAAATAATCGTATTCTATATATTCATTATGTCTAGAGTGTGTCTCAAACGCATACTTATATATTTCGATCATCTTTCAAAGTCAGAAGTTGATCAATTCACATTTTTTATGTTGATCATATAGCGACAGTAGGAAATCAATTCATGACTATTCATCATTGCTGATATCTTGAATAGAAATTTTTATCTGAGCAAAAATAGCAAGCTATACTACTCAGAATATTCACAAACTTATCTCAGATATTCAAATTTCAACGAAAGCATTGAAACCTTCTTAAACAGTGGACGTCTTGCCCGTAATGATGTTCAGTACCTTTTCATATCGCTAATAAGCTTTGAGAAAGGAATCTAACGCCTCTTGTTCCCAGTTGCTATGATCTGTAATAGAGGTGAGAAACCAAAAAAACATTAACATGAAAATTAAACTCGCTATTTTCTTCGAAAATATATTTGAGTTCTACACAACAAACTAGACTTATGATGGAAGGTTCCTAAGTTTACATTGTCGAATTGAACTGATATTTTGAGCATAATTAGGCTCCGATGAGACCAATAGAAGTCTATAAAGGTACATCCCTATGCGTTGTACTTCTTAAGCTTTTTGAGAAGAAATCGAAGCGTGAAGTTTGAAGGTGAGATATTGTCCATAAGCAGATCTCGTAGACCTTGAATGTCTTCAAAATTTCAACTCAAAACCATATTTTCTTTTTCATATATCCATTGTTAAAAAGAATGTGTTTTCTTACCTTTTCCTATGATAGATAAGTTTTATTTTGAATATTCCATATTCGAAGAAGAACATACTCTTTTGGGTTAAATTTTCCAGAATATTCAAAAATCCATGAGACTGACTTATCAGCAAAATATCAGTTCGATTGATGAGTCCTACTTAAGAATATTCCTTCATTAGATAGAGATACTACTTTTTCTGACAGACAATCATTTCTCTGAATGATTCTAAACAAAATTCATACATGATGTTAATGATCATCAAAACTATAGTCCAGCACAAAACGATCGAGTTGGCGTACAGTTCTTATTGTTCAATTCCTTATTGTAGGAAAGTATGTTTATATTACATGACGAATGGCATAGATACTCAGGCACGGCTCACATTTATGCTATGTTTTTCGTATTTTTTCATCGCTTAGATTTGTAAATGTACGATCAAAACGAAAGAAAAACAAATCTCTAAATAATTTTGGATTTATCTTTTAAGACGGTAGATATTATAAGAAAGAAAGTCAAATAGAAATCATATTTTACTTGAATGTTTTCGTTAACGATTACTGAAAAGTCTGCGGCTTGAACAATTCGGTCTAATCTGGTTGTATCTATTGTTTCTCCATCTAAAGAGTTCTTATTTAATAATATAATGATTAGAATATAAAAAATATTTACTTATAGGTTTTGTTGCATGGCGCTTTGGTGGTGGTGTTTCTGAAAAATGATTATTATTAAAAGAAAACTAATGATTAGAAGATGATAAATATTTACTGGGAACTACACTGTAGTCGTCTTCTGGTGAAGCCTGAATTTTTTTATCAACTTTCTTTACACTTGCACATGAGCCCATAGCTAATACTTATCTTGAAAATCTCAAATAGAAATATTCATTTAAACACTTATCTACAAAAAAGATGCAATTCAACTTTGAAAGTTTCTTTTTTTTTAAATCTTATTTATATTATAAATTATTGAAATAAATGTTAAATACAAAAAAAGGAAAATTTTCTTACTTGAATTCAAAAAGATTCAATTTTTCGTAGAATAACTTATTCACGGAGGGTGTGGCTTTTTTGATAAATAAGGAGTTATTGAAATATAAATAATTCTTTTTTCATGCCTTGATTGTGTTTTTTTTTTCAAAAGTCTATTGTCGATTATCAATATGTAGAAAAGCTTTTCCGTACAAAAGTCAAAAATATGATAAACATCCCATGTGATTCGAACCGGAAAAAAGACCGGCGGTATACTGGCGGTTCACCGCCGGTATTTACCGGTAGTAACAAAACAATTGGCGGTATACCGGCATGATCAGGATACGAATCTACTGATCCTTAGTCTTATGAATTTAAGAATAAATGTAAATTATCAAAGGCCGCAAATTGATTTAGGGAATCTATTTAATAAAAAGTTCTCTTACTTTTTTATTTAGACATGGTGAATTGTTTTTTGAGTGAAATTTAACTGTTTCC